CACAACCGCAGAAACGGATTCTATCGGATACACGTTTCCCGATTATTATTACGCGCCCTTTGCGCACGACGAGCGAAAAGAATTTCGTCAAAAACCGGATCGGAGAACGTGACATCTCTCGTTCGAGTTTTGGGTTTTAAGAAAATTGATGATTATTTAAATTTACGTCTCTGTTAGTTTTTTTTTTTTTTTTTCACATCTAAGTTTTTCACACGTGATTTAAAACCGCCGATGTTTGCCGACGATTCGCGTCGTATCTCTTCGTTCGACGCGCACGAAAATCTCGAAGGTGAGTGGTTGGCGGAAGCTTTATCGACTTACGAAGTTTCTGGGGGGGGGGGTTTCGAGCCGCGCGACGGTATAAAAGATAACGCGCGGGCCATCAACGCGCAAAGAAGCGCTAATAAAAGCCGCCGCAGCGACTCGTCCCGGGGGTCGCTCCTTGTCTTGCAGGACGTAAGGAAAAAGAAAACAGGATGCGCCGCGCGATATCACAGTGCAATTATCTCGTGGGAGGGAAATGAGCTTTGCATATAGAGGCGTCGTGAATGCCGCCGCGCGATGTTGCAACGCTCGAAAGAGGTCGGCCGGCGCGCACGTACACGCCGGTAAAAGCTCGTATTTAGAGGCTAAAACGACGTCCCGGGAGTGTTCAAGCGGGGTGTAATATACGTTCCACTTTTGAGAACAACTCGGAAGTAGTTAATCACGAAAAGTTTACCCGAGGCTGTAAAATTCTTAAGAAATTGGTCGACAGCGCGCTCTCGCCGCCGCCGACGCGTTTCTAGCCGTTATTCGAAAAAAGTAGCTGTTACACGGAAGTTGTCGCTCGTTTGCGGAATTTTCGGTCGTTTCGCTGCGTTTCTGAGATTCTCACTCGGCCAGTATCGCGTTTAGTTATCATTAACGCTTCCTGATATTTTATTTAAAAAAAAAAAAAAAAAAGAAGACACAGAGAAAAAAACAGTGTACCTACTAGTTTTATTCAAAACATTTTACGTTACGTTATCGGGAAAATTAAAAGCATTTCGAGTTTACGAATATACATTTTGTAACTTGTTTATCAAAAAATGATAACGGTATATTAAAAACAAAATAATATTTGCGAACGTCATAACATTACGAGAGAGAGAGAGAGAAATTTGAAATTGCGCGTTTGCGACGAGGGACGATTCTGCCGAGAGACGTGTGCAAAAATTTTCGATTGTTGTTCGCATCCGAGTGTGTGATCCTCGATCTTAAAACGCGCAATTGTTTTTTGAAACATATTATGGCGGTTAGACGATTATTAACGCTTATTAATGCACTTCACGTAGGCGATTACATCACTTTATTTTGATATCACATTTTCATTTGATCGCGTTTAATGTTTTGCCACCGAACCGTCGGTGCAAACGTACAAAATATTCGCCATTAAAAACGATATGTATACATTTCAGCGTATAACGGGTAAATTCAAATGGAATGAAGGAGCGAGACCCCGCGTAAAAGTTATGCATATGAATTTTATGGCCGCCAGATCGGCAATACTCTCCCCGCGCGCGCGCGCGCGCGCTTGTATGTGTATGTGTGTATTTGAGAGTTAAAAATATTCCGATAGATTTTGCGCGCGGATTCATGCATATGTTAATTATAATCAAACCGCGCCGCGCGAGAGCTTGCCGTGTTCTGCCCACGAAAAATTTAATATTATAACAACGAGAAACGGATAATTTACGCGCGCGCGCGCGCGCTGTCCCGACAGTTGTAATTTAAAGGGATATAGATTTTCGATGGTTATAAAATATCATTTTCAATCTTGTGCGCTAATACACTTGCGCACGATGTCGCGTAAAATAATTATTATAATTGCATGCGCGCTGTACACGTAATGCGTGAATTGCAATAGTTACACACACGTGTTACGGAATTTTATTTGTACTTACATGATACACGACGGGAAATTGTCACCTTAGATTTTTTTTTCTTACACCGCTCGGGAATTGATTTTCCCTAGACGCAGCGGTCGCGTTTTCAGAGGTTTGTCGCTAACCGGAAGGAGAGGCGCATTAATGGCCGCGCGTGTGCGCGTACAGGAATGAACGACTCTTAAGTGTCGCGAACGTGAGCGAGCCCCCGCGTGTCGTGGATGGGCGGGCTCGGAAGAAGGGAACGTCAGGGGCCGACGGGGTGGAGAGAAGAGGGTCGTCCAAGTTGAATAATTCAAGCTCTCATTAGGGCGACAAAAGCACCCTGATGGATAGCTGCTCGACTCCGCTGGCTGTCGAGAGTCTCCGTACGGACTCCTCTCTCTCTCTCTCTCTCTCTTTTTCTCTCTCCTTTTCTCGTAACACGCGGACGTCCTTCTCTTCGCCTCGCACGCGCGCGAGTCCGAAAACGCGTACACGGGGGCGCACACACGGGGTGTCCCCAGAATTTGCCCTGTTCTGGAATATGTAATAGTTGTGTCAAGATGTAATGCGCAAAATTCCGAATATCGGAATTCAAATGGAGAAATGTATAGAGAAAGTAACGACTGTATTAAAACTCCCAATTATTTGATCGTAAAAAAAAAACGATATAAAAAATCTTTTATGTAAAAGTTTTTTTTTAAATTGCAGTAATGTTCAAGATAAATCTCGCGCGACGAGACCGAGCGCTTTCAATTTTCTCGCAAATTTGTAATAGAATATCACTCATGACAAAATGACACGCGACGATTATACGACGAGTCACCCTGTACGAAACGCGCGTAGTTTTCGCGGAAAACTCTCTCTCTCTCTCTCTAGTTCTTCTTCCTCCTCTCTTTTCGGCCCGTCCGCCTTCTTCCACTCTTCTCACCCCCTTCCGGTCTTCTTCGCCGCCACCGACGTGTTTCATCCCCGTCTTTCCCCCGCCTCCCGTTCTCACGACGCCCTGTTTTATTTCGAATGTTCTTTCATTTCTTAAAAGGTTCTCTCGCTGATAATTAGCACAATGCGCGGCCGCATTAATTATTACCCGTGCTAATTACCCGAGGATAAATCGCTCGGCAAGGGGTGGCCGGCGAGTGCACAAGAGAACGGGATGGGGAGTGTGAGGGAGGAAGTGAATGTGGAGAGGGAGAGTGTGCGAGAGACCGGAGGCGGGGGAGGCAGGCCCATTACCGTTATTGCTGCAACAAACCGTCCAACAACAGCGATAAATACGAGCGAGAGGCTGGCGTTACAAATGTCTCTCTGAGTTATGATTATTTAGCGCGCTCGTGGCTCGCTCATTCGCCCGTTTGTTGGTTTGTTCGTTCGCGTTGCGGCTTCCGAACGGCTTGTTACTTCCGAGAGGGGGATTTCTGTACAGGTTCTTTCACGAGGAAAAGTCTCTCGTCGAGAAAAATGATTCATCGCCGATACTTCAAAATGAAGAACGTCTTTTGTCACTTCCCGTGAAACAACAAACACGTGTGTATCGAAATCGCACTGTGTGAGATATTTTCGCATTCAATCCTTTAAACTACCGACGTGTAGTGATCGTCATCTGAGGTATCATCACTGATACCGAAGAGCGAAGCATTAATTCTCAACTACGCTACAAATAACAATGCAACGATGCAATATCCGACTTATCTTCTTCTCAACAGATTTTGTTGCGGTTTTGATTTGTGAAAACAAAAGTTGTGTTAACCCACACACTTTGACGACAGTTGTTACGTACTTTGTTCTCTTGACGTCAGCGGTTATCGCTCGACGTCAGTCTGTGTGTTGTGCGACGTTCTTATCAATTTTTTTTTTTTTTTTTTTTTATATTCTCCTTGAAGAGAAACTTCATTTAAACTTCAAGAAATGACTCGCAAAAACGGCATTATCTCGTACGCCATTGATATTACACAGCTCACTTAGCCCGCTCATGTATATTCGAGCAGCTAATTAATAAACTCACTTATTTATATGTGCATTATAACATGCAATAATAAATAGAATAATGGCACACATTGGATTCATACGATTACTCAATGACAAAATTGCAATCGTACGTCTGAAATAATAAATTTTCGTATTTCCGGATTGCAGACGTATCGTCACAATCCATGAAATTATCAGTCGAAACAAAAGCGATCATTTTACATTATCAGATTCCGCAGAAACGGTTTGAATTTTGCATATATTGTTATATATTGTATATTGCGTCATTACGTGCGCATATAGAAGAATACTCCTTGCCGACAAATGTTATTTTATCGATTCGAAAAGATGGCTCGTGATTCCGACGCTAGTTAGCGTTATTCTCTACGCCCGTGCGCAACATCTTCGAGCGACGCGCTTTTATTCTCGTCAAGTTGTTTTATTTATATTGCAGAAGATTTTTAGACCGAAGAGTTGAAACTGATTTGGAAAAGTTTTTTTTTTTTTTTTTTTTTTTTGTAAAAATAAGATGTTGCATTCTGTAGGAAAGAGACAGCTCTGCCATCTTAAGGAATATTCTCCAAGCTCCGAACATTCCTTATATCGACATATTAAACTAGGCGGTGTGATGCCAACGCGCTACGCTTGTTGCTTATCGGATTTTTCAAATTGTACACGAAATATAATACACGGCGTGTGAATAAAACATACACACGCACGTAAAATAGGATAAATAATAAAAGTTTTAATGATCACGCAAAAGTCGAGATTAGTCGTAGATTAAAACGCGAAAATAAAAAATTAATAAAATATCACCGTGTACAAATTAGTGTACAAATCGCGCTCTTGTACTAACTTCTATAATTTCTTATCTCTTCATCGCGCGTATACTAGCTGTAAAGGAGAGAGGAAGGAACGTGAACAATTAACTTGATTGTGTTAAATATGACCGCACATTTTCTTTGCATGAAACTCATTACCGCGTCAAACTTATCGCGTGTTATTCGCCTCTGAAGGTTATCAGAGATTATCGGTTTTGCGTAAAAATATAAAAAAAGACGCATTTCTGATGTTCTTGATATTTCGCGGACAATATTACTTCGAGCAAATCGCAAAGAAAAACGACGGGAAAATCGAAATTGAAATTAATCCGAAAACGAGATCGTTTCGAGACTATACGGGTCGCGATACTGATAAGGACGTTTCCAGGACTTTCGCGAGTTAGTTACCGCGCTAGCTTCGGACGAAACCGCGATCTCGCTTGACGTAGTTCGAGGCCCGAACGAGCAGTCGCCTCGTGGTAGATCCATGACACGCATTATCCCGTGCGTGTCATTTCGTTGAACGAGTTCCGTGCTCTACAAGCTCGCTAGAATTACCGGATTCCCGAGCCGGCTGTTCTCCTCTTCGCGTTCTATCGAAGAAAGTCGACGAATAAAGAGAAAAATTACGAATTTCGCCGTCTTTTCGAAACGTGATTGATACATATAGTGATAGAACTGATTTGTTGAAAAAAAAAAACAAATCGGATGTACACCGCCTACGATTTCATAGTAAGTAGTTTCGTGCGAAGAAACAACGTCTCTCTTTGTCATCTATCAGCCTGGACGAGAAGAACACGTCATTTATAAAATTCATTACTCAATTCGAATTTTCTGTTTTGCATGAATTTGTTCTAAAATATTCATTCTTGTTACTAGCAACAGATTTTGTCATGTTTATATTCCAGTTTGTTCGCCTTAAATGACTTGGCTGCCCGAGAAAAAATGGATTAGATTTAACTTAAATTTAACGAGATAAAAAGAATGGAAAAATAGATCCAATTAGATCAAAATTAAATCTAAATAGATATAAAGTAGATCCAAATAAATATAAAGTGAATCTAAATAGATATAAGTAAATCTATGTAAATTTACACTTTTATTTATTATTAGATCTACTTTTATTTATTATTAGATCTAGATATAAGTAAATCTATGTAAAAATTTACACTTTTATTTATTATTAGATCTACTTTTGATCTACTCAGATCTATTATATTAGATCACCTCAGATCTGTTCAGATCTGCTTAAATCTAAGCAAATCTGAGTAGTTTTAATATAGTAGATCTGAGTAGATCTAAAGTAGATTTAATAATATATAAAGATGTAAATTTACAATAGATCTACTTACATGTATTTAAATCTACTTTATATTTATTTAGATCTACTTTATATCTATTTAGATTTAATTTGGATCTGATTAGATCTATTTTTTCATTGTTTTTATTTCATTAAATTTAAGTTAGATCTAATTCATTTTTTTCACGTTCTATAAACATGTTTGTTGCGTTCGGCTGACTTTTATTTCTCTTTGATGTCCAACTCGAAGAGAATTCCTGATAAACTTATCAGGATGTATTCTAAAAAATTTAAAAGATTCTAAATTTTTCGCATAAGATTATTTTATGTTACGGAAAAGAACAAGTTTATTTTTCCAATTGTCTTTAATTAAGACATTAATACGCGCTCGAATATAATGTATAAGTACATAAATTGGAAACGAGGAAAAAAAAACGACACCAAAAAACGCTGAGAAGGAAGAGAGAATCGAGAAAAAACTCCAAGAAACTGAAACACTCGGTGTGTAAATGCGCACTCGTCAATCCGGATCGGACAAATTGGCCGGTTTCCGGCGCGGCGGCTCGTAATGGCTCTTTTCTCGATGTCTCTCTGCACATCTCTCGCCACTTACACGACGAATCGCCACGGCATATTATCAAGCGATCACGATATTACATGTTACTCGTGCGCGCGCGCGTGTGATTTACAGTGCGCAGTAGCGCAGAGTCCAAGTGCGCGTCTATTATCGCCGAGAATACCGATACTCGTCTCTCTTTCTCTTTTTTTTTCCCCCTATTTACAAGTCTGAAAGAGAATGGAGGGGAATAGAGGATCCTACTCACAGCGAGAAGTATGGGTATTCCCGCGGAACCAGGGGGGCTAAGGGGTCCGTGCCACGGGGGCCGCGATAACGCAGGCCTGCCCCGTCTAATTATTCGTGTTTATTCGCAGAGGGAGAGAACAAGAGCGGACGGAACGGATCGTCGACGACGCAGCGCGCGACGATAGCTGGACCGAGGAAAGGATGATTGGTTGTCTTCGGGACTCGGCCGGGACCCCGGCCAGAATACTTGTCGTCTGCCTCGTCTATATACTGACGTTTCTCAGTGAGTTATCCGCCGGGTTGTTGGTCCCCCTGCTTCATTCCTCCGCTTTACCTGACCGTATTCACTATCTCCCACTGTGTCCATGTGAGAGATTTCCCCTCCAGAAGAAATCTATGCGTTCTTGCAGTCCGCCACGGTTTCCCCTCTCGCGGATCGAAAGTCATTCATTGAAAAATTCAATTCGGCCATGCAAGCCGGCCGGAATACGATCGGTTTCGAACCGCACGTGTCGCCGTCTCAGTAAAATTCCTGTGAATTTTTGTGAAAAAAAAAAAAAGAACATGAAATAATTTTGTTGCCGCATGTTTTGTAAAATATTGTTTCACGAGAGTTCATTTTATATACTTCTCTTAGTCACGACTGAAGAAAATGGAATTCGGAGTCATATCAGTAGTACGTTCGCACTTGTTATATTTTACATTTTACAAGAAAGTTAATAACAACAATATTATTATCTGGTGCTGACTAATTATTTTAAGTGAAGACATTTTTTTCATTATTCTTCAACGCATGCTTGCGCTTATTTGCCAAATCTTCAAAATAATTTGCAAAATTTTTGTTTTCCAAAAAAAATTGCTGCAGTCAATCAAAAGTTATTTTGACTTGCAACATACTTTCTTATAAATAATTGTTTACTCGATATATTTTACAATAAATGATAAAATCTCTGTCTTTTCTCGTATGTAAAATATAATTTTTTTTACAGGTTCCTACTGTCAGATGGCACCAGGTGATCATTCATTGAAGAATCTCAATTATCATTAACAAAATCACACCCCGGTAGCTTAAATATTGTGCAATTTTTCGGAATCGATTCCGAAAAGTTATATAATAAAAAGCTACTCCGTGAGTCAGAGAACTTCATTTTAAAACCATCGCTCCCAACTGATTTCAATAAGAAATTTAAAGAATTTCTCGCGCGCGCAATGCCCGTTCTCTTCCCGTCATGTAACAGGGACTTCTCCTCGTGAATTAACGGTATTCCGTTGCGTATATGCGTGTACACACATCCGTACGTCATGTGCGCGCGCGCACACACACATACACACACATACACGCACGCACGTGTACCCGACGTGTGGCTTCTCTTTGGGGATCTCATGTGTCTCGATGAGAGAGAAGCGGGATCCTCTTCGTCGTCTGATGCGCTTGTCAGTCGACGCGCGACCCGCGATCGGTCACGTCGTCGTGCATTACTTTTGAACATTTACCTTTCTGTATAATCAACTACCTCATCTTGCCTCAGCCTTGTCGTGATTTACATAACAGTCAGATGATTTCTTACGCGATGACCGACGTATGTTGGAAACTGTGCGTGATACTTACAGCGGTAGCCGGCGTTGCTCGAGGATGGGAAACGGGAAGCGGCCACAGGTACAAACTGACAACCACGCTGATCTTCAAAGAGGCCGGACCGCCGAGATCCGGAGGCGATGTCGGCTTCAGACTGACCGGCGAGTTGGACGTCATTGCCGTATGGCAGGATCACAGCGATCCCAATGTCTTTCTGCTCAAGTTTCAGGTATGACTCGAACGTCCGGTTTGGCGCACGTGTCAATTAGATCTCGGTCAAAAATTTTCTTCAACAGTGGGTAATCCTGATTGTTTAAGTCATCTTTTTAATTCTTGTCCCGAAAAGAACGCGCGTACAATACATTTGCGCGTTTTACGTTGCGTTTTACTACGTTATTATTTATCTAACGACAAACGCAATTGTTTTGCGGTATAATAAATAGTTGTGTCTTTTTGTTTAAGTATATACTTTAAGTATATCTTTTTTATTTAAGTATATCTTTTTTGTTTAAGTATATACTTTTTTAAGAATGTGTACGGAAGAATGAGACAGTGCGTCCCCGTGTGAAGAATTCAAAACGCGATATATCACATCGCTTTAACGATAATTCTTTTTATGTCTCCTGTACGTTTTTTTATTTCTGAACTTTAAAAAACATACATATTTCAAAAGTATATACTTTACAAGAAAGAACGTAATGAATAAGTATATACTTTTGAAATATGTATTTTCTTTAAAGTTCAGAAATAAAACAAACGCACAGGAGACATAAAAAGAATTATCATTAAAGCGATGTGATATATCGCGTTTTGAATTCTTCACACGGGAACGCATTGTCTCATTCTTCCGCACACATTCTTACGACGTTTCTACACGAGCGGCTCGCATTTCAATATATATACACGTAGCATGTCGTCGGTTGTGAATTTACATATATCCTTGAAAATTTTCGTACAAAAAACTTACTTAAATCTAACTCGCATGTTATAAAAAAGCACGTTTATTGATATCGAAGAAGGTCGTGCTGCCAGACTCGTTCGGCGCTGATAAGTGCATCTGAGCGCGATAACAATTTCTCGGACTGCGGTCTTTGAATGAAGTCTCAGATTAGACACGGGAACAAATACAAAACACATCGATATATCTTTATTTGTATTAAAACAAATTAGTTTTCGTTTTGTGCCGCATCTATTCATAGATGCGGCATAGAAAACTTTTTTAATAATACATGTAAAATAATTAATGTACAGACACGTTTATGTCTTTGCGCACATAAAGTTGCACTAATCGCACATTTCGGTCATATATCAACATTAAAAAAATGCAACTTTGTATGCGAGGACATTATCGCCCGTAAGGTTAATTAGAGTCGAAGCAATTCGCATTGTTTCTTTTTTTCCTGAATAGATAATTTTTTTGTTATTTCGCTCGCACACGCAATCGTAAATTTTAATGATCGATTGTGTCTCTATTTTTTATCTCAAGTTTTTTCATATCTCGCACATGACTAACGAAGTGAAAAATTCTTGCAGTTGATATCGCCGCAGTTATGGATCAAGTCCCGCCGAGCCCCGGAACCGGAGGGCTTCGTGGAGCATCTGTCCAAAGTTGACCAGATTGCCGAAAAGCCCTTCCTCGTGCTCTGGCGACACGGCGACGTTCAGGCCGTGTACATGGACTCGACCGAGAGCGCGTCGTCCGCGAATCTGAAGCGCGGCGTAGCTAGTCTCTTTCAATATCGGACGCTCGACGACGAGGTGCGACAGCGGGACGCTTCCGGTCTGTGCGACGTGATTTACACGTCCGCCGGAGAAAACATCGTTCAGAAACGAAAATCCGCCTGCACGCACAGCGCTCTACCGCCGACGAGACGACATCCGAACCCGATCTTCGCCGTGAACCTCGAAAGTTATCGCAATTCCACGTACATACTGACGCAATCGTTGCTGCCCGAGCGTGTCGTCGACCACGAGACACACGGGATGACTCTGACGGCTAAATCGGACGTCGGCACAACCGTCGTGTCGGAAAGAACGTTGGAACAGACGTCTAAAGTCCTGAGCGCGGGCGTAATTCAAGCGGATTCTGTGAAATACGCAGTGGCGGTTCTTCAGCCGGGATATAGAGAAGTCGTGATCGAGCTCCAACCGGAGCCGGTCTCGTGTCCAGACGCCGGATGTCCCACGGTGAGCCTGTGTGTTCGGATCAACGTTATCTCCAATGTTATCGCGCGTTATGGAAACAGATAATCTTAGTGCATGTTGTCTGATATATAAAAACAACTGGAAAAATAGAAACAGGAAATTTGTTTTTTTTTTTTTTTTACATTATGTGTAGCGGATGTTACTTTGATGTCTTGACTTTGATCTCTTGAGATTTAGCGTTCATTTTTTTCTCAGATTATTTATATCTTTTTAATATAAATTATATGTTAAAAGCTGTTGAAAATTTACTTTATCTTTTTTTTATAAACACTTGAAGGCGCCATTTTATTATTACAGATCGATAAAACGATCGAGGAACATCGCGAAGCGCTCACCGAGTCGGCGCTTGGCACAGCGAAATCCGCATCGGCTTTCCTCAAGCTTCTTCCTCTAGTCAGGGACGCGAGACCCGAAGATCTCCAGAAGATCCTGAAGACACCGCGTAATCGGAAAATAAAGATGCAGCTACTGGACGTGTTCGGTTCCGCGTCCACGTTACCTACTTATAAAGCGATCGTCTTCCAACAGGATAGAAACCAAGACGAAATCGAGAGATACCTCTGGGCGTTGTCCCTGTCGTCAACGCCGCACACGAACGTCGCTTACGACGTTCTCAAACGATCCGAGGAGACGATGCAGAACGACAAAGTGTCCGAGACGTATGCGCTTATCGCGGGCGCGATGGCGCGTCATCATGGTTCACCAGAGATGATAGAAAATGCGAGAATTAGTCTGGAACTAGGTCTGGACACTTGCAACAGTGAAGAGTGCAAACTCAAGTTCGTGGGAGCGCTGCGAAATCTGAAGAGTCAAGCTGCGATTCCCAAGCTGCTGGAACACGCTTTGAGCAGGGAGAAGGCTATCAGTGTCGCGGCGTGGCGAGCTTTGGCGGCACTTCCTCGCGAAGCCGTAACCAAAGAGCTGAAGACGGCGGCCGACAGGGTGTTCTATCAGATCGGAAGTCCACGTGACAGCAGCGCGCGAACAATTGCGTTGAACATTATTCTCGAGAACGACCCGTCCGAGGAAGTGATACGCGACTTGGTCAATTACCTGAGCGGCAATGATCCGTCTTACGAGGTCCGCAAGTACCTGAGTCAACGTCTAGAGCAGATCGCCGAGAAGAACGAACGCGTTGCCGAATACTTGAATCGTATATACGCGACCGGCGGTGTGAAAGTCAATAATTATCACGTGCGAACGCACAGAGGCCTCAGCACGGCTTTTACAAGAGATTTCTTCCGATCTTCTGACAGCAACGGATCTCTGGTGACCATTCAGGAAGTAAATGCTGGTCTCCTGAAACGCGGCATCGTGGACGTCGTGTTGGAGACCGATAAAAATCAACAAGCGATGTTCTCTCTCGGGATCTTCACTGGCGGTCTAAGTAGTATCGTCTCGAGTGACGAAGAAACGGAACCTGACGACGACATGCCCACTGCCGGAATGGAGATTGACTTCTTGGGTGTCGGCGTGCGACCGTTTGTCTTTTTCTCTGGTCAAAGGGAGTTGATGGGTCACGTCTGGTCTGGCACGGCGTCCGACAAAACTCCTGCTTTTCAGACTATTGCTCCTTTGCACAGCCACAGCGAATACGTGCCGCTCGGATCTGGTTTCGTCGCCGAAATTGACGTTCAGGGAGCTGTGAGTTTCGAATTGGCCGGCCAGGTTCAGCTTAGTCTCTGGTCCAAGAACGCGCAATCGCTGGTGGAGATGAACGCCGGAGTGATGATCCACGGTGGCATCAGGACGCATTCGAATTTCGTTCAGAGCAAGGCCGAGTTCTCGATGTCCACGGAGCCGAAACTCAAATTGTCCACCGATCTTGACTACTCCGGACCGGTGTCGTTGTGCATGAAACTGAGCCAGCCGGTCACCACGGTGAAGTATCAAGTGTACAAGATCGAAAGAATAGCCGGCAGCCGACACAAGCTGAGAAAAACGCGGCGGTCGAAGATTTACTCGCCCGGCAGGACCTACAAGCTCAACCAAAAGAACAACGAGATGTGCACGAAGTTCAGTTAACGCGCGCTGAAGACTGCCATAGATCGTGTTGCAATATTAAAATTGACGTCATAAAACTCTTTTTTTTTTTTTACCATTGTGAACCTCGATAGTGTGTAAACATGGAATCCAATTTTAATAATACAATATGTTTATAGAGAGCTGATGATACACGAGAGTAATCGGATTATTCGATCTCTGTCTCACTTGTTCGGATAATGTCAAGGTATTCGGATTACGGTGTTATTCTAGTTATCCGAATCGCATTATCTTATATTACTCGGTACCCGCATATTTTGTATTATCTCGAGTACCAGCATCAGTTGTATATTTGTACTTTAAGAGTATCCGGAACCCAGACAAAAATCAGTTTGACGTCTCAAATTGTATGTGTAGATTGAAAAATAGCCTTACACTTGGATCTCGATATAGCGCTCGATATTGTTTTCACACATTTGACAAGCAAATAATCCAAGAGAAAATTTGTTATTAATGGGAGGGAAGCGGCCAATACGAGGCAAAAACCAGATCTTCGGGTCAATAAACTTCTTTCGTTAAAAAAATTTTTTATAACAGACGTTTCGATCCCAAATGAATCTTCTTTAGTGTTCAAAATTCGTAGATATAGGAAGAACTCAGTTCGTCAGCCGCGTATAGCCACTAACAATATATAATAATAACGTAAATTTGTTATTATTATATAAAATTGTTATTATTATATAAAATTTATTACATAAAAATTTAATGCAAAGGTATATACAGGGTGTTTCAGAACTATGGGATCAAACTTCTAGGGGTTATTCAGTGCAACAGTAGAAAACATTTGAGTATAGGGACCCATGTCCGGAAAAGTGTCACTACCGCACTACGGC